TGTTCTCCAGGCGCTGCCCGGGCGGTGGGTCCGGATGCCCGCAGGATGGTGCTGGTCCCCGTTGTGGCGCTCTGGGCTCTGCTTCCCCTCCTCGCCTGGGCAGGTACCCACCGGCAGCGGGGTAGGGGGTCTGGTCAGACCCCCCCTCTCCCCGGAGACCCCCCTTTCCACACCCCTTTCCTCCCCTGCATGAGGACAGCAGTGCGGGGACCTCGAAGGCGCCGGGGAGGCTGCGGGCAGGGGCACAGGGGGATGTTCCCGGCATGGCGGTGACTCACGGGGCGGCTGCTTTGGCACCACCGAGCCCTTGTTCTTGGCAGGAGCAGACGCTCAATCCCGGTGGCATCACCGATCTCATCCTCAGCGGTGCCCTCTGGCCCCCAGCGGGGGATTGGGGGCAGCACCCGGGATCCCACCCCTTGTCCCAGGGGGTCTCCAGCTCCAGACCCCAATATCCCCATCCGGGGTCATTGTGGGGTGACCCCACTGCCCCCCGGCAGACCAGCCCCCCGTCACTGTCACCGTCACGGCGGCCATCGGCGAGGACGCCTGTCTGCCCTGCAGCCCCCAGCCCTGGGGACACCTGCGCGGGGCCACCCTCAGCTGCACCCACCAGGCCGGCGACCACCCCGCCGTGCCCGTGCTCAGCCACCGCCTGGGCGGGCACCCACCCGCCGAGCCGGGCTGGCACCCACCCGCGGAGCCTCACAGCCGCTTCAGGGGCAGGGTCGCCTTCTGTGCCGTGGGGACGGGGGACAGCGGTGTGTCCCTGCTGCTGAGGAACCTCAGCGACCCCGATTTCGGGAATTATTCCTGCTACTTGGCTGGCGATGCTGCCCCGCAGCTCCTCTGCTCCCTGGAGCTGCAGCCCGACGTGGCAGGTGAGTAGGGGGGTGTGTGGGGGGTGATACTGTCCGGTTTGGGGGTCCCCCTGTGTCCAGCCCTGTCCACACCTGGGTAGTGCCTGCTGTTTTCCTGCTCTGAATTTGGGGATCCCCCCCATTCCCTGGTGTGTCTCTCACCTGCTCTACCCCCTGTCCCACCTCTGTCCCCATCTGGGCAGTGCCCGGTGTCCCCCACTCTGCACGCCCTGGCAATTTGGGGGTTCCCCATTCCCTTATGCGTGTGTCACCTGCTCCAGCCCTGTCCCCCTCTGGGTGGTACTCAGTGTCCCCTACTCTGCACCCCTGGCACGTTTAGGGGTCCCTCGTGTGTCCATCACCTGCTCCGTCCCCTGTCCCCCCGCCTGGGTGGTGCCTGCAGCCCCCGGCACTTTGGGGTCCCCCGGTCTGGCGCGGGGCTGGGAGTGTCGGGGGGGTCCGTCCCTTGTCCCCATGTGCCGGTGCCGCCCCGCAGAGGCCCCGAGGGCCGTGGAGCCGGACATGATCATGGTGGTGTGTGTGCTCACGGCCGCCTTCACCGCCGTGGCCATCGCCGTCCTGCTCTGCGTGCGCTGCGGGCGGCGCTGCTGGGGGGGCGCAGGTGGGTGCTGGGGGGGTGCAGGTGGGTGCTGGGGGCGCAGGTGGGTGCTGGGGGGCACAGGTGGGTGCTGGGGGCGCAGGGGGTGCTGGGTCTGACAAAGTGGGTGTTGAGGGTGACAAAGTGGGTGTTGGGGGTGGGATGTGGGTGCTGTGGGATGGGGGGGCAGCTGAGGACCCCCTGGTCCAGCCGGGCGTGGGCTTCTGGGTGGGGAGGGAGGGGTTTTCCAGCTCCCTTGTGGAGCTGGGATAGGGACGAGAAAGGGATGGGATGAGGATGGGATAGGGATGGGGAAGGGATGGGATGAGAATGGGATAGGATGAGGATGAGGGTGAGGATGGGATGGGATGGGATGAGGATGAAGATGGGATGACGACAAGGGTGTAGATGGGGACGAGGCTGGTTGAGTGGGATGAGGGTGGGGACAGGGATGAGGCTGGTGACTGGGATGAGGCTGGGGACAGGGATGGGGAGGGGAGCAGCTCTGTATGGGGACACTGGGGCATGTCCCTTGCCCTGGGGGGCACAGCCAGGCTGGGGTGCCCATGGGTGGCACTTGGGGGTCCTGCGGCCCCAGCTCACTGTCACCCTCAGCGTGGGGTCCAGCCCAGGGCTCCGGAGCTGCGGATGGAGGAGAAGGAGGAGCCGTGGCCTTGGGTGACCTGAAGAGTCTCCACACCTGAGGCCACCCCGGACAGGTCCATGTGTGACACCGGCACAGGACACGGCCCTGACTGCCCCAAATGGGGGGGGAGCAGGGCTGGGGTGATGATCTGGGGCAGGGGGGCAGGCACGGGGGGCAGGATGGGTGCTGGGGGTGGGTGCATGATGGTTTGGTGCAGGGGCTCTGCCCGGACCACGAGGGAAGGCAGGGGCAGCTCATGGTCCCCCCACCTATCAGGGGACACTCGAACCCCAGGGTCCCAAGGCCAGGGGGGCCAAACTCTGACCTCAAATAAAGAGCGTTGCTCCAGAGTGGGGGGTGAGCCCTCGTTCCCACCCCCGGGGGGATGAGGGGACTTGGGGGGGCTGGGCTGTGAGGGACTGGGGTAGGGCTGGGAGGAGGGGTACGGGCATGGATGGGGGTCCTGGAGTGGGGGTCTCTGTGCAGGGATGGGGTGTGGGGGTCCCAGGAGGGTGTCCATGCAGGGATGGGGTGAGGGGGTCCCGGGGGGTGCCCATACACCCCCCACCCCCCTCACGGCCCCTGCGCGGTGCGGCCGAAGGGTGGGAGAGGTGGCTCCGCCCCAGATACGCCCCCTCCTACACGAGTCCCAGAGCGGGGGCGGGGGAAATTTGGGACTCCGCGGGGCTCCCCCAGCTGCTGCTCAGCCCTTCCTCCTCCTCCTTCTCTTCCTCTTCCTCCTCTTTCTCCTCCACCTGGCGGTCACTGCGGCTCAGAGCAGGGTCCTCAGAGTCTCCTTCCCTCCTTCCCCGCACGTGTCCTCCTGCTCGTCCCTGTCCCTGTCCCATCCCATGGGTCTGGTGAGGAACGACACGTGGATATGGCAGGTGGGCATGTAGATCTGAGGGGTGGATTCCTAGATCTGACGGGTGGACAGCTAGAAACGTTGGGAAACATAAATCTGATGGGTGGAGATGTAGATCTGATGGATGGACATCTAGATCTGATTGGAGGAAGTGCATCCATGGGCACCTTCCTCATCACTGCTGGGGCAGAAACACTTCTGTGGGGACAAGGGATGGTTCAACCCCACCACGAGCTCGTGTGCTGCCTGAGGGGACTCTCTGAACTCTCTGGAGACCCACCAGCATCAACCACAGCGTTCCTGGGGATCACGGGGGCTTCTTCAGCAGCATCCAAAGGAAATGCCTCCTTGGGCAGTGGGATCTGGGGCTGGGTGGTGGCTCTTTGGTGGCACCTCAGGGACTCTAAAAGCATGAAGGGGTTTTTTGTTTTGGTTCCTCTGCCCGAAGCTTCCTCCAGGAAGGGTTGTGCCAGCACCAGCAGCTACTTCCTGGGGATTTCCAGCCGTGATGAGCCCTAGAAGAGAAATAATATAAAATGGAATAATAATAATAACAAATTAAATAATAACTGTGGGATGGTGCTTCCCTCAAGCAAAGGGACCTCGTGCTACAGGGATGGGACAAGGTGACAGCTCTTTTCTCTGTCCCCACTAGCCAAGAAAACTGAAACGTGGTGCAAAAAAAAGGGGAGGGGGGGAAGGATTTGAGGGTTGGATCCTGTTTGGGGAGGGACCCACTGCTTCCTTGCATCCCGGGATCCACCAAAGCTTCCCAGTTTTAGTAGCAGAGAGGAGATTCGACGAGTTTGGGACTCCCACTTCCCTGTGTCAGAGAGGTCACCGGGGATGCAGTGTCGCCACTGAAGGTTTTTGGGCTGATTTCAGCAAATTTGTGTCGGAGCCTCACCCACGTCCTTTCCTGAAAACCCCACATCACCTCAGCTGGCCACGCTTAGGGACGAGGACTGTCCCGTGTCCCTCCGAGGGAGAGAGAAATCTGTGATTAATTACAATTACAACGCCACAACTGCACACCCCCCCCGGGTGCGGGTTTCTCCGCGGCAGGGGCCGCACCACCCGGCGGGGTCGGGGCAGGCGGGACGATCCCGGCGGTGTCGGGAGAGCTGGGACGATCCCGGTGGGATCGGGAGAGCTGGGACGATCCCGGCGGTGCCGGGAAAGGCAGGATGATCCCGGCGGGATCGGGAGAGCTGGGATGATGCCGGCGATGTCTGGAAAGGTGGGATGATCCCAGCGGGATCGGGAGAGTTGGGATGATGCCGGCGATGTCTGGAAAGGTGGGATGATCCCGGCGGGATCGGGAGAGTTGGGATGATGCCGGCGATGTCGGGAAAGGCGGGATGATCCCGGCGGGATCGGGAGAGCTGGGATGATGCCGGCGATGTCGGGAAAGGCGGGATGATCCCGGCGGGATCGGGAGAGCTGGGATGATGCCGGCGGTGCCGGGAAAGGCGGGATGATCCCGGTGGGATCGGGAGAGCTGGGATGATGCCGGCGATGTCGGGAAAGGCGGGATGATCCCGGCGGGATCGGGAGAGCTGGGATGATCCCGGTGGGATCGGGAGAGCTGGGATGATCCCGGCGGTGCCGGGAAAGGCGGGATGATCCCGGCGGGATCGGGAGAGCTGGGATAATCCCGACGGTGCCGGGAAAGGCAGGATGATCCCGGCGGGATCGGGAGAGCTGGGATGATGCCGGCGATGTCGGGAAAGGCGGGATGATCCCGGCGGGATCGGGAGAGCTGGGACGATCCCGGCAGTGCCGGGAAAGGTAGGATGATCCCGGCGGGATCGGGAGAGCTGGGATGATGCCGGCGGTGCCGGGAAAGGCGGGATGATCCCGGTGGGATCGGGAGCGCGCCCGGGCTGCGCTGGCCCCTTAAGGCGCGGACAGGTGCGGCAGCGGGTGAGTGACGGGGCCGGCAGCCAATGGAAAGGCAGAGCGCGGGCGGAGGGGCCAATGAGCGGGCGGGAAGGGAGGGCGGGGCGTGGGCCGGCGGCTCCCGCGGCGGGGGCGAAGCGGGGCCGGAGCCGGAGGGGACGGGGACAGGGACAGGGACGGGGACAGGGACGGGGACAGGGACGGACCGGCCCCTCTCGGCTCCGTCCGTCCCCGTTCGTCCCCGCTCGGCTCCGCTGGGCCCCGCTCCGCCATGGCGAGGCGCGCGGCGGCCCCCGCCAGGCCCCTGGGGGATGATTTCTCCTTCGTGAGCCCGGTGGTGAAGTACGTGCTCTTCTTCTTCAACCTGCTCTTCTGGGTGAGTGCGGGCGGCGGCACTGGGACACTGGAACTGTCCCCACCCCTGGACCCTACTGGGACACCCCATCCCCGGGACCCCCCTGTGGCCCCCTCCACCATTCCCGAGGGACCCCCGGGCACTGGGGCTGTCCCCATTCCTGGGCCTAATTGGGACCACCCCATCCCCGAGACCCCTAAACCCCCCCATTCCCAGGAACCCACCGTGACCCCCCATTCCCGAGGGACTCCCAGCCCCTGGAACTGTCCCCACCCCTGGACCCTATTGGGACCCCCCCATCCCCAGGGACCCACCAGGACACCCCATCCCCGGGACCCCATCGTAGACATCCGGGCCCTGGGACCGCCCCCATCCCTGGACCTAATTGGGATCCCCCCCTCATCCCCGGGATCCCCAGATCGCCCCCATGCTCAGGACCCCACTGGAAACCCCTGACCCTGGACCCCACTGGCCCCCATTCCTGGACTCCCCTGGGATCCCATTGGAGCCCCTCCATCCCTGGGACCCCACCAAGGACCCCCAGACGCTGGGACTGTCCCCACCTCCAGGACACCACTGAGACCCTTGCACCCCCCCAACCCCAGGACCCCAATGGGACACCCCCTTATCGCTGGGAGGTGGGGGATTCCCACATTTCCCGAGGGGCTTTGGGGTCTTTTGGGCCCCCACCATCTCACCAGGACCCATCCTGGCCCCAGCCCATGCCAGGGACACCTCACGTGTGGAAGCCACATGGATTTCCATGTTTTGAGGCTTTTGTGATTTTTTTTTTTAATATATGTTTTTTAAGTTCTTTTATGTTTTGAGAATTTTTTTAATGTTTTGAGATTTTTCTTTTTCGTGCTTGGGTTTTGTTTTTAGTTTTTAACTTTTGGGGACTTTTTGACTGCTTGGGGGGATTGTTTGTTTGTTTGTTTGTTTGTTAGGGGGCTTTTTTCTGCCTTTGCGGGGCGTTTTTCGGCGGGTGGTGTTTTTTCGGAGGGTTGTTTCCGTGTTCGCCGTCGTGGTTTTGAGGAAGTTTCTCGCTGCCGATAAACCACGTCCCCGTGTCCAGTCACCCGCAGCAGAGCAGGGCTGGTGTGGACAGAAGTGGCCTCCCGGGGGGTGGGGACAGAGGTGGCCGCCCAGGAGGTGGGGACAGGCGTGACCTCGCGAGGGGTGGGGACGTGGTGGGCACCGTGTCCATCTGGGGGTGACGAGGGGAAACTGAGGCAGCGGGTCCAGCTCTGGTTCCCCATTTGCAGCCCGGACTCTGGGGGGCCTTCAGCCGGTCTCCGGGTGTGAGATGGGGGTGGTGGTGCCTGGGGGGGGCTCACAAACCCCCCCGTCCTGCTCTGCAGATGATCTCCATGGTGATGGTGGCCGTGGGGGTCTACGCCCGGCTGCTGAAACACGCAGGTGAGGTTGGGGGGCTCCTTACCCGGGCTGATCCCGAGCCAGCACCACAATGGGGGACGCCCCATCACTGGGGGGCTCTGTGGGGGCTGCCGGTGACAGCTCCTCGTGACAGAAGCAGCCATGGCCTGCCTGGCGGTGGACCCCGCCATCCTCCTCCTCGTGGTCGGCGTCCTCACCTTCCTCATCACCTTCTGCGGCTGTGTCGGCTCCTTGCGGGAGAACATCTGCCTGCTGCAGACCGTGAGACCCCGGGCCTGGGGGACCCTCCTGGGGGACCCTCCTGGGGGGATCTCTGCGTGTCTCCCCCGTCCCCTCACCGTCCCCCTCCTCTCTGCCGCAGTTCTCCGCCTGCCTGACCGCGGTGTTCCTCCTGCAGCTGGCGGCCGGCGTGCTGGGCTTCGTCTTCTCCGACAGGGTACCCTGGGGGGGAGCAGTGGGAGGGCTGGGTGACCTGGGGGTCCCGTCCTGCTGGGTGACAAGCCCGCCGGTGTCCCCCCTGTCCGCCCCGCAGGCGCGGGGGAAGGTCAGCGAGATCATCAACGGGGCCATCGTGCACTACCGGGACGATCTGGACCTGCAGAACCTCATCGACTTCGGGCAGAAGGAGGTGAGGCGGGTCCGGGGATTTCCTCTGACAAAACGAGGGCGTGTCCCCGCTCCTGGGTCAGGCTTAAATCCGTGGGGTGCCACCGCCTGGATTTGATGTTCGCGGTGATGCTGTTCAGGCAGGTTGGGGAGAGCAGGAGGAAAAGGGGGCGAGGGGGAAAGAAGCCCCCTCGGTGTCCTGTCCTCGTCCCCGTCCCCGTCCCTGCTGAGCGCTCCGTGCCCTTCCCACAGTTCAGCTGCTGCGGGGGCGTGTCCTACAAGGACTGGTCCCAGAACATGTACTTCAACTGCACCGCCACCAACCCCAGCCGCGAGCGCTGCTCCGTCCCCTTCTCCTGCTGCCTGCACGACGCCAACCAGGTGAGTCCTGGGGGGAGCCCCCCACTCCGTGCCTCTTCCCCCCCTCCCTTGGGGCTGCGCTGAGCCTGGAGCCCCCTCCCAGGGAGAGGGAACGCACTGATGGCATTGCATGGACCCCCATCCCGCCCCCTGGGTTTGGGTCCCCCATTCCACTCACCGGGTTTGGGGACTCCCAGGTGAGGTTACTGCGGTGAGGTGGTGGTGAATTTTCCCCCCGCTGCCCCCAGGGATTGTCCCTTTGTGGAGCTGGGAGTGTTTAGGGAGCCTGGCTCTGGAGGGATGGGGTGGGAACATCTGAGGAAGGGACACCCTCCTTGATACCAAGGTGAGGGCAGAACTCCTGGTCACCCCCAAGAACAAGGGACCCCAGTGTGAGTTGTCCCCAACCCCTCTGTGCCCTGTCCTCCCTCCCAGACCGTCGTCAACACCATGTGTGGCCACGGGATGCAGGACAAGGGCTACCTGGAGGCCAGTGCCTTTATCTACACCAACGGCTGCATTGACAAGCTGGTCAACTGGATCCACAGCAACCTGTTCCTGCTGGGGGGCATCACCCTGGGGCTGGCCCTCCCCCAGGTACAGGGGTCCCCAGGGACTGGGGGGGAGAAGGGTCCATCCCACAGCTCCACTTTGTGCTCCCTCTCTTTTGGGAGTTGCCTTAAGGATGTGGTTCATTGCAACCCAGGGGGATGTCCGGGCAGGATTTGGGGTGGGGGAGCAGTGCAACTGTCGGGCATGGGGGGCACGGGGTGACAGTGCCTGGTGTCCCTCAGCACCTCCCTCTCCCATTCCTCTTTTTCTCTCTCTCTCCTTCCTCTTTTTCTCTATCTCCCCTTCCCCTTTCTCTCTCTTTCCCCTTCCTCTTCTCTTTTTCACCTCCCCTTCTTCTCCCCCTTCCCCTCCTTCTCTTCCTTACCCTCCCTCTTCCCTTCCCTCTCTCTCCCCCGTTCTCTTTGCCCTTCCCCTTTCCCTTCCTACTCTTTCTTTCTCCTCTCCCTCCTCTTTCCCGTCTCCCTCTCCTCCCTCCTCTCCAGCTGGTGGGCATTGTCCTGGCTCAGCTCCTCATCAACCAGATCCGAGACCAGATCAAGCTGCAGCTCTACAACCAGCAGCACCGGGCAGACCCCTGGTACTGAGCCGGCGTCCGTCCGTCCGTCCCACGGCACAGCGGCGGCTCCCAGCACCTCAACAGCCCTTTTCCCAGCTCTGGATCCACGGGAAGAGCTGAGGGGGCTTTGCTGGAGAAGAGGGAGGTAGGAGCAGGCTGTGGATCCGTGGTGGCCGCTGTGCTGCAGAGAGGGACACGCAGGGACACTGGAGACTCGGTGCCTTTGGTGCCGGGCTCGGCCGGGACGTGCCGAGCTGCTGTGCCCTGTTTTGGGGCCTGACCCAGCCCCAGAACCGCTGTCTGTCTGTCTGTCTGTCTGTCCTGCTGGAGCACAGGCCACGCACAAAGCTTTGCACTGGGATGTGCCTCCCATCTCCGTGTGTGCTGGAGATGGGCATTTGTCTGTCTGTCTGTCTGTCTGTCCGTGCACCGAGCTGCCTTTGCCCAGGGTGGGCTCCAGAACTGGGCATGTTCCCATCACCAGGAGCCACCAAGCCTGTTGGCTCTGTCTCAGTGTCACGGACAGGGCTGGGAGCAGGAGCCCTCGGCACTGGGGGGCTGATCCATGGGGGCTTCCTCAGCTGAGGGTGGGGGTCCCGTCTGTGCCCGGGGTGCTGAGCCACTCCATAGGGAGCTGAGCCCCTCCACAGGGAGCTGAGCCCCTCCACAGGGTGCTGGGCCCCTCCAGAGGGAGCTCAGCCCCTCCATAGGGTGCTGGGCCCCTCCACAGGGTGCTGGGCCCCTCCACAGGGTGCTGAGCCCCTCCATAGGGAGCTGAGCCTCTCCACAGGGTGCTGGGCCCCTCCACAGGGAGCTGGGCCCCTCCACAGGGTGCTGGGCCCCTCCACAGGGAGCTGAGCCCCTCCACAGGGTGCTGGGCCCCGCATGGAGTCAGTGCCAGGCTGCGAAGTTCCTTCAGCTTTCACGGAGAATAAAGAGACGAGTCCGGACGCTCCAAGCTCTGCCCGTTTGCGCGGGGGCTGCTGGATCGGGGGGGTGGGGGGACAGCCTGGACGGGGACAGGGCAGGGCCACCCCGTCCCCGTGCCCTTATCCCGTGCCATTCCCTCCCCAATCGGGGAAGGGGGCGATGGGGCCCGCGGGCAGCGGAGCAGCAGCTCAGCCCCGGCCCCTCCGCCGCGTTCCGGAGCTGTCGCAAACCGTGGGTGGAGTTTTTGGGGATTTTTTTTTTTTCCCTTCTAATTTTCCCTTCTGCTCAGGCTGGGTGGTCTCTCCCGCGGAGGGAGTCGGGATGCGGCCCGGCTCCAGCTCTTTGTGTGCGGCCGGCAGGCACTGGCGGCTCTCCCGAAAAAAACCCCACAAAATACACCCAGCCCCGTCCTCTTCCCCGAAAATCCACTTCGTACCCTCTCCAAAAGGGGGGGTTTTACGCAAAAAACCCTCATTTCTCCCCCCAGAAGTGATTGTTCCTCTGAGGAACGACACCTCCCCATGAAAAAAAAAAAAAAAGAAGTGATTTCTGCCCCCTCAAAAGTTAGTTTTCTCCCCAAAACTTCCCCCCTAAAGAGCTAATTCTCTCCTAAAAAGCGAGTTTATTCCAAAAAGTAGCTGCTCTCCAAAAAACTGGCTTATGACCCCCCAAAAAAAATCTTTCCTTCCCCTCAAAAATGCTCTTTTCTCCTCCCAAAACTCCTATCTTTTCTCCCCCAAAACCAACTTTTCTCCCCCCAAAAGGAGCTTCTGTCCCCAAAAAGTGACTTTTCTCTCTAAAAAACTTTTGTCACCCCCAAAGTGACTTTCCCCCCCAAAAAAAGTAACTTTCTCCTAAAAGAAGGAACTTTCCTCTGCAAAAATCAACTTTATTCCCCCCAAAACGGGCTCTTCTCTCCTGAAAGTGACTTTTACCCCCAGAAATGTTGCTTTCCCATCAAACAAGTTTTCTCCCAGCAAAAGTGTCTTTTGTCCTCTAAAAGCGACTTTTACCCCCCCGAAAAAGTAGCTTTCCCCTCGAAGAAGTAACTTTTCTCTCCCCAAAAGTGACTTTTATCCTCAAATGGAAACTTTTCTCTCCCAGTCAAGTGATTTTTTTTGTCCCCCCAAAACCTACTTTTGTCCTCCCAAATGAGAACTCACAAGAAGGAACTCTTTCCTCACTTTTTAGTGACTTTTTCCTCACTTTTTAGTGACTTTTTCCTCACAAGAAGGAACTTTTTTCTTCCATGAAGGAACTTTTCCTGCCAAAAAGTAACTTTTTCCTCCGCCAAAGTGACTTTTCTTTACAAAACCCCCAACTCTTCCCTCACTTTTTAGTGACTTTTTCCTCACAAAGGGAACGCTTTCCTAACAAAAAAGGAACCTTTTCCTCGCAAAAGTGATTACTTCTTCACAAAAAGTGACTTTTTAACTCACAAAACTGACTTCATTTTCTTACAAAAAGTGAGGTTTTCCTTACAAAAGTGACTTTTTTTCTCAAAAGGAACAACTTTTTCCTCACTTAAAAGGACTTTTTCTTCACAAAAATCTCGTTTTCCCTCCGCGAGTGTGAACCTTTTCCTCCCCCAAGCGACTTTTTCCCGACGAAAAGCGATTTTTCTCCTCACGAAAGCGAACTTTTCCCCCCCGCTCGCCTCGCTTTTCCTTCACACACAAAAAAGGGTACTTTCTCTTCGCAAAAAACGCGTTTCTCCTCCGCAAAAGCGACTCTCTTTTTTTTTTTGTTTTTTTTTTCTCTCCCAGGAACGAACTTTTCCCTCTCCTCCCCTCTGAGCGACTTTTCCTCCCCCCAAACCCCATTTTCCCCCACGCGTTTTCCCTCCGCGAGCGCGGCTTTTTTTCCTCACGAAACCAAACTTTTTGTTTGTTTGTTTGTTTGTTTTTTCCAATCGCCCGAGCGACTTTTCCCTCACAGAAAAAACAAAACAAAACCAAAAAAACACAACCCAAACCCAACAAACCCGCGGGTTTTCCCTCTCCCTGAGCGCCTTTTCCTGCCGAAGAGGCTCTCCCCTCACTCCCAGCGCTCTTTTCCTCTCCTCGGAGCGCGTTCCCCCGGGATCCTCCCCTCCCTCCCTCCCTCCCCTCCCCTCCCCGGCGGGGGGCGCGGGCCGGGCCGGGCCGCGGGGCGGGGGCCGAGGCGGAGCAGGAGCCGCGGGTTGCTCCGCTCGCTGCCGGCCGGCCCAACAAAGGCCATGGCGGTTCTCGGCGGGCCGCCCTGAGCCCGGCGCTGCCCCGGGATGCGGCGCTGGGCCCTGGCCCTGGCGCTGGCGCTGGCGCTGGGCGGGCGCTGCCCCGCGGCCCCCAACGCCTCGGCCGGGCCCCCGCGCTGCCGCCGCCCCGCGCCCTGCGAGCGCCTCCGCTTCGCTGCCTGCCTGGGCTCCGCGCTGCCCTACGCGGCCACCTCCACGCTGCTGGCCAACGACTCCGCCTCGCAGGAGGAGGCGCACGGAAAGCTCCTGCTCTGGTCCGGTACGGCACCGGCACCGCCACAGGCCCAGAGTTTGGTTTTTTTTTGGGGGGAAGGGGGACGGGCACAGGGTGTGGTGGGAGCAGGGTGGGATGTTGGGGGGCCGGGGAGGGGTGAAGTGTGTGGTGGGGGATAGGGGTGGGGAACTCTGTAGGAGGGGAGCGGTAGAATGGGGGACAGGGGTGGGCACCGTGTGGGAAACTGTGTCAGGGGCCTGGGATAGGAACAGTGTGGGAAACTGTGTATCACGGGAATGGGGATGGGAAGAGTATGGAAAACTGTGTACCAGGGGAGTGGAGATGGGAACAGTATGGAAAACTGTGTACCAGGGGAGTGGGGATGGTATCAGTAGAGAGGGGAGCAGTGGAGTGGGAGACAAGGGTGGGTACCATGTGGGAAACTGTGTAGCAGGGACTGGGGATGGGTAGAGTGAAGGAAACTGTGTAGCTGGGGAGTGGGGATGGGAAGAGTGTAGGAAACTTTATAGAAGGGGAGTGGGGACAGGCACAGTATGTAGGAAGCTGTGTATCCAGGATCTGGGGATTGGAAAAGTGTAGGAAACTTTATAGAAGGTTAGTGGGGACAGGCACAGTATCTAGGAAGCTGTGTATCCAGGATCTGGGGATGGGAACAGCGTAGAGAGGAGCAGCAGAATGGGGTACGGTGATGGGTAAGTGGGGTACAGGGCATGGGTACAGTACAGAGGGGAGCAGGATAGTGGGGGACAGGGGATTGGTACCGTAGAGAAAGCTGTATAGTGGGGACTGGAGATGGGTACAGTATAGGGGGGAGTGGTAGGTTGGAGTACAGGGGATGGGTACACTATTGAAAATTGTGTAGCAGGGGCCTGGGGATGGGTACAGTGCAGAAAACAGTTTATCAGGGGACTGGGTACAGTGTAGAGGGGAGCAGTGGATTGGGGAACAGTATAGAGGGGGCCTGGGAATGGGTAGGGTATAGAAGGGAGCAGAATAGTGGGGGACAGAGGACAGCTACAATAGAGATAAACTACAGCAGGGGACTGGAGATGGGTACAGAACAAAGGGGGGTACAGGGGATGGGTGCAGGGTTGAGGGGAGGATAGTGGGAACCTGGGGTGGGTGCAGCACAGGAAGCTGTACAGCAGGGCAGTGGGGATGGGTAGAGTGCAGAGGGGTAGAGTAGAGCAGGGTACAGGGGATGGGTAAGTACAGAGGGTGAGCAGGATAGCAGGGCTCTGGGTGTGGGCACAGTATAGAAAACTGTACAGCAGGGGAGTGGGGATGGGTACAGCACAGAGGAGGAGCAGGATGGTGGGTGCAGTGGATAGGTACAGTACACAAAACTGTGTATGGAGATGGGTGCAGCAGAGAGGGGAGCACGGGGTGCAGGGGATGGGTGTGGTATAGAGGGGGAACGGTACAGCAGGGGCCCAGGGATAGTCACAGTACAGAAAACTACAGGAGGGTCAGGGGATGGGTACAGTGTGGAGGGGGACAGGGTAGTGTTGGCTCTGGGTGGGTACAGTACAGGGGACAGGGAGCAGGTACAGTATAGAGGGGAGCACGATAGTGAGGGATAGGGGATGGGGACAGTACAGAAACCTGTACAGTAGGGGAGTGGGAGTAGTTGCAGCTTAGAGGGGAGCAGTAGCTTGGAGTAGAGGAGAGGAGTGCAGTATAGTGGGGTGGACACTACAGAACACTGTATAGTGAGGACTGAAGATGGGTACAGGAGAGAGGAGAGCAGGCCATTCGGGTACAGGAGAGGGGTATGGTATAGAGGAGGAACAGTATAGCATGGCCCCAGGGATGGGCACACTGTAGAAAACTCTACAGCAGGGGACAGGGCATGGCTGCGTGTAGAGGGGGACAGGGCTGAGCCCCTGGTGACCCACATGGCACCCCAGAGGTGTTACAGACTGTCCCAGTGCTGTGTGTGGGTGCTGACGCTCCCCCTGACCCCCTGGGCTCTGCCCCTTCCCCATGGGGCCGCAGGGCGGGGGATGGCAGGAGGTGTGTGTGCCCAGGGGGATGGCAGGATGTGTGTGCCCAGGGGGATGGCAGGATGTGTGTGCCCAGGGGGGGATGATGGCAGGAGGTGTGTGTGCCCAGGGGGGGGATGGCAGGAGGTGGGTGTGCCCGGGGGGATGGCAGGAGGTGTGTGTGCCCGGGGGGATGGCAGGAGGTGGGTGTGCCCAGGGGGATGGCAGGAGGTGTGTGTGCCCAGGGGGATGGCAGGAGGTGTGTGTGCCCGGGGGGATGGCAGGAGGTGTGTGTGCCCGGGGGGATGGCAGGAGGTGTGTGCCCAGGGGGATGGCAGGAGGTGGGTGTGCCCGGGGGGATGGCAGGAGGTGGGTGTGCCCAGGGGGATGGCAGGAGGTGTGTGTGCCCGGGGGGATGGCAGGAGGTGGGTGTGCCCGGGGGGGTGACAGCGCTGTCCCCACAGGCCTGCGCAACGCCCCGCGCTGCTGGGACGTCATCCAGCCCCTGCTCTGCGCCGTCTACATGCCCAAGTGCGAGGATGGGCAGGTGGA